GTGACTAAATAGCACAATGAAGTTTATACTAGAAAAAGAGCAGGTGAAACGCATAGGGTTAATCCAGCGGCAGGTGAGTTGAATACACTACATTGTATGGAGTCTGTGGCATAGCAGGAAAACAAACTGATTATATCTAGATTATATGAATGAGTTTTGAGTGCAGATTCGGGACATTAGACATGCATAATCATTATATATATATATATATATATATATATATATATATATATATATATATATATATATATATTATATTTCATACCATCACAAAAGGAGACACTCCCAACAAACAAGGAGCTACGCCACCTCAACTATTAGCACATTCTGTGGACAATTTCATAGTAATTTGGCTTAGTGGTCGTGTGCATTTAGGTTGTATTATTACATAAGGGAGATGTGGCTTCCTGAGACCGATGGAGAACAAGTTTCCTCCTGTTGCTGCAGTAACAGCTGAGCCACGCTGCTTCCACCACTGGGTTAGGTTGGATGTTTTTTATCCAGCTCATCAAGGGGACCTGAAGCATGTCATTGTTTATGAAAACATTGAAAATGTATTTTATTGGAGCAGATAAGTAAAGGAGAACATCAGGAAAGGTTTCCTTCGAATTTTGGCTAATAACTATTTCTGAGTTGAGATAAGTCCTCGGTGTTTCAGCATCCACCTCTCCACAGATTGATGTGTTTTAACAGTTTGTGGTTTAAATAATTTGCTCTCTATGGCCACTTTTCAAACTTTGAGCATGTGAACTTTAGACTATTGCTGCTTTTGTTTTATTCAGGACATCCTTAGAGTAATTCACTAAGTGTTCTCTTTCTTTGGGCTGCAAAGACTTTTTATCTTGTCCCATAAACTGATGCTTTGTCCCAGATTTTGACTAGCTCCATTTTTCAAAACCCAACCCCAGAGGACACAAAAGAAGTGTTCTAGTATGAATACTATCTATTACATTTACTCCCTTATATACACAGATATTATTACTCTGTTCTGTTTGGAATGACAGGACAGGAAAGTGAAGACAGAAGAGGAATATTACATCAAGCTGCTATTGACAAGGTCAAAGGCACACTTTTAAGGTTTATTTTATATGTTGAAATTGTTTTGAAGTCACATTGTGGTGATTAAATCACATTTAAATTTCTACAAGATTTAGATAAGGATTAAATCCATTGCCAAGGGAAGCTTGTGTTAAAATAATATATATCTCTTCTGATTACCGGCGACTTAGTCCACAGTCTCAGGTCACACTAAAATTCCTTTAAAATGACAAGGACTGACCATAAATTTTATATGCATTCAACAAACTTAATAACAGGGGCAAGAGAGGGTGGCATAGAGGTCCAACTGTAAAGCTGAAGGATTTAAATACTACAAATAATCATTCAGAAAGTGACAGAAAGAAGGACTCTTAACCATTTACACGTTTAAATTTGGACATGAACAATGAGCACATAAGAAATATTAGTGTTTCATGAGCAGGTAATACACAATGTCAAGAATTTGACTTGCTTTACTGTAACACAAAGCCTCTACCACCCTCTGTAAAAACTTAGCATTTCGCCCATTAAACATAGACATCAGGCACAGGCATCGAGGGCAGACAGAAACCATCCACAGATCAAATATTTGTGTTGAGAACTTGAATATGTCACACTTAAAATATAACACCCAACCAAATATTGCTTTTAAGCAGTCCTTTGTGATTGCAATCTTGCAGACACTCATATTGTTATGAGGAATGTTTTTGATATGTCATGCAGCTCCACACAAAATTTCCTCAAAGAGAAGACATAAAAAATGCTGCCTTCCATTTAAAAAAATAAGGTTAAAGCTAATTTGACACCAGCATAAACATGTTTGTTTATGTTAGATTTGGACAGGACGTGTTCACAGTTTCAACTTAGTTTAATGAATTAATTAAAGATGATGATTGGCCAAATGAAAAAAAAATGTGTTAATGTTTAAAGGAAATATCTTAATCTTAGGAGGCTGAAGTGTTCAGCCCAACACTGAGGGAAATTATTGCTTATTAGGAACAAGAATCCAAATTGGTATTAAAGAACCAGCAGAATTCACAGCATAACTAAAAGTTCCTTTCCAGAATGTCTTTATCCATTGACACTTCTGATTTTCCACATGGCACACTGGGCAGTAAGACACGCTTGTCGCCTGCATGGCTGCACCATAATACACCCTGGGAGCATCTTTACAGTCCCAGGTTCCAGCCTGCAGCACAAGTTAAAAATTCACTCTCTTTCAGGTTTATCAGTGTAAATTTCTCAAAATACCTGTCATCTCTTTCCGCACAGCCACACTCATACACTTTAGCTGCAAAAAGTAAGTATCTTCACAATCTCCCCAGTTTGCCAGATGGGTCGGAATGGTTACCACAGTGATCAAATTTAATGTACAGTAAACGTCACAAAATGAGATGTAATGACAAAGAAAAACGAGGGTCTCTCCAACCTGTTAAAGATGATTTCATTATAAAAACAGGAGAGCATGAGATGACATGGCTTGCTTTGTTTGGTTAGCCACTTAACGCTGACCTTAAAATCAGAGCAATATTTTCACACCCATTGAATTTTCTCACAATTTGCAACATTGCAACCACAGATGACAGTGTATTTTATTGCGGTTTTATGTAATAAACCAAAATATGATGCATTATTCTGAAGTGGAAAGCAATTGATTTGAGTTTCAAATTTTTCTTTTCCTAAGTAAAATCTGCAAAGTTATTCAAAGACGTATTCTGCCATTTTCAATCTGATACCCCCAAATAAAATCAAGTGCAAGCAATTGCTTTCAGAAGTCATCTAATTAGAAATCAGAGTCTGCGTGTAATTTAATGTTAGCTCTTCTGCGTTAGTTAGAGGACACAAGTGGACAACCAGCATCATGAAGACCAAAACACACAGCAGAGAGAAGGATCCTAAAGCAAAGTCCAAAGATTTAAACATTTGACAGAGCACGGTTCCATCCCTTAAAATTTAAGATTGAAAAAAACCACAAACCTACAAAGTCATGATTTTCAACATAAACATAAAATTTGGGCAAAAGAAGCAATAATTAGAAAGTTATCCATGAAATCAGTGGATATTCTGGGGTGATGTAGAGATTAGTTTGGGTGATCTGTCAACTGGACAACTTTACCCCTGCACAGATCTGATTTGTGTAGGAAGGTGGAAATGGCAAAGCAGTTGGTAAAAGAGAGTTATAAGGAATCCTTGCAGTTGAGTGATGTAGGGTACACTGCACAGTGAAACATGGTGGAGTTGAACTGTCGTAATGGTTTTCTTTAGCGGAGACAAGAACAATAGCCAGATAAATTGGAAGACGGATGGATCTGAATACAAGGCAGTCCTAGAAGACAATCAGTGCCGGGATGCAGAATACTTCAGGTTGAGGCGAAGGTTCACCTTTCAGCAAAACTACGGCCCAAATCAACCAGTGCAATAGTTCAGATTAAAGCATTTTTCCTCCTGAAAAACAAAAATATTATATGCAGCTGTAAACACTAAAGTTGCAACCACATGTGCGCTGTGTACACTTTAAAATGAGAGACACTTGTGTTTTTGTTTTTGACTTTACATCAGTGCTGCTATTGATTTCCAGGAAAATGTGTGCAAAGCTCATCAATATGTTCCCTATTTATATTCAGTCTTGCAACATTAAAGGTATTCTGTCAAGCCAGAGGCAACAATAGCCCTTAAAGAGGCTCATGCTTTATCTATTGCAGCTGTTTGCATCAGCATGATCGCCAGAGACACTGTTTGTTCACACACTGATCCGGCAATAAGCCTGGGTTCGGCATCCTTCTGTCCTCCACTCCTTCATTTTCTGTCTCTCTTTTGCACTGAAAGCCGGCCAACACCGGGCTAATTGGATGATTTAAATGTCAGCCTTTTTTTTTTTTTCATTCGCAGCTGTGTCCTTATTCTCCAAATATTTTAACATCAGCGTCCAAGTTATGCATTTGGATGAATTTCTCTGCCATAATTTGAAAAAAATAAATAAATAAAAATATTAACAAGACTCTGTGGTTTCTGGACCCAGATGTGAACAGCATATTTAAACAAAGAGGAACTGCACACGCTGTGCTGGCTTTTGGGATAAACAAGTCATCTGTTCGACATTTCTCACAAATGATTCCCTGCTGTTTGTTGTATTGTGGGTTCGTATTTTGGACATAGGTGATCATGTAGCATCTATTTGGCACCAAACAAGGATGCAGGGTGGACGTGGGACTCATTCATCACTCTTTATGAATGAGGCTCCAGCTGAACACTCAGTAATGTAAACAAATAGCTCAGCAATGTTTTTTTGTTTTGTTTTTTTTTAACTGTGTAACCAAACCAGACGGATGTGGTCTATTACAAACAAACTGGAATACACCCACACTCTTTGTCATTTTAACCAAACAGTCAGCGGCGTTAAGGCACTGAAAGAAAGCAGACGGATGGAAGCAGCTCAGAGGGAGGATATTTCATGTATATCCACCCATGTTATCCATAGAAAAGAGAAAAAGCTGCAACTGGATTTCAATGAAAGCATCGCAAGGTCACACACAACCTCTATATGCAAAGAGCTTTGTTTCATACAATTAATATAACCAGATATGTATATGTGAATATCATTTATAAGATGATTCCTGCAGGAATCTTGATCTGCGTAAAAGGGATAAATACTGCACAAAAATTTTGATGGAGTCTTCATTCCAATCCTGCTATTATTGGTTGCATTGGCTAACCAACTTGACCCAACTGCACCTCCATAATTGCTGTATGATCCCGTGTACAGAGCTCTACCGCGCAAACTGCGCTCAGTATCCAGCCACTGATGGGAAACCTCCTTAGCTGCATGAGCCGACACATGCCGCAAGATCCCAGCAGACTCATTTCCATCAATCCCTTACGTGCACCACCTCGTACCCCGCAGAACTGCCGTGTTCACCTCTATGTGATGTAGCTCTAATTCATCATTTTCTGATGTTGCTTACCATTTTCTCCACATCTTCCCAGTGCAACTCCTGCGCGCTGGTGACGAATCCACCCTCTCCGGGCTGAGACTGAGAAGGATTCCTCGTTGCTTCAGCGCGACACAACTTACGGAGGGAAATAAAAAATATATATGTAAATACTCGTTGCAGGCCGAGCAGCAATGCAGCAATATATATTTTTAGTCTGTTTATGCGGCACAGGTTTTAAAAAGCAGAAGCAGATCTGTGATTATTTGGAGCGATGCCACTGCCCCGCCGATCGCTTCGCCCTCCACGCAAGAATGCGCTGCGCATTTCAACTAAGCTCCGCGTCTTCTTCTCCCAGCTTCCCTCTCCCCCTCCCTTCATCCTAACTCACACACAGACACTCTCATACGTGCGGGCAAAATGAAACGCAGAGCAATTCTGGGAGATGACGGTATGACTCAAACGGAGCGGGTTCAGCCATTTACTGTCACCCGATTTGACATAAAATGACCATATGGATGCGCGACAAAGTGGAGCAAACGGTCAGTGTGTGCGCGTGTGATCCTGGGGTGACCAAGTAGGATCATGCAGTCCAAACAACAGACGCCGGGACCATGGACAGCCATCATAATTATTTAACGGATGCCCAGAAGGGAAAATTCAAAGCAAGAAGAAGACTTGATGTGTTAGAGGGCTGCTGCGTTATCTGAATGCAACACGGCCAGATCCAGCTCAATAAACTCAAATATAGTCGAAAAGTTCATTATCGTCTGTGGGACAATTCAGAATCAAACTCATACGATTCACTGCAGACAGATAGATGTCAGCTTTGATGACTGACACGCAAAGTTTTAAATTTCAATTTAGTGATTTACCGTTTTTCTGGAAATCAGAAAGACGAACTTTAACCCTGAGTTTTCATCCAGAATTGTGATGCCTACTGTTCAGCAGTTCCCACATCCACTACACACTGGCTGTTTACAGAGAGCAATGTTCATTCATATTAATGGAAAGTCGAGTGGAAGAAAAAAGTGTGGCAAAAAGTTGCAGAACATCCCATCCTCACGTTGAAGTAGGGTAGAGGTTCTGTAATGGTGTGGTCTTGTTTGGCCTTAGGTACATTTACTAAAAGTCTGCTGACTTTTAGTAAATGTTCAGTAAACTAAAAATGTTCAGTAAACTAAAAATGGGCCATTAATGTGATCAACAGGCTATTAATCCATGATAATTGACAAACTCAATATAGAAATAATTTATAAGACAATAAATGAATCTTCTCCTATGGCAAATTCATCCCCAGACCTAAATCCTGGATGAGCTGTAAGAGAAGAGAGCAGAAAACAACTCTGGATGATCTCAAGACACTTTATTTTTTCTATACCGAGTAAACATATTAAAAATAGATTTTTAAAAATGTTTTTTAACAAGACATTTTGCTTCTGTGCTGAATGATGAATTCATTTTCTCACATCTTCGAGGATAGAAATGTGTGGACCACATGCATTTAGGAGATTTCATGGTGGAGAATTTTACAGCTGAAAAATTAGTTCGAATATATTTGTTGCATGTTTCAAATAAGGTATGAAGTTCAGATTTGTCATAGCCTCTGAGAATTTCAACCAGTTTTAGTGGAGGACCAACATTTGGCAAGATGCTCATCAATATTTACTTTGACCACCCAGCCAGTGTTTAGTCATGTGTTTGTTTCTGCAAGTGAACAAACAGGAGAAAGCCTGCAGATGCAGAACTTGAAATAACTCCCAACATCTTCCTTATTTGCTTTGACTGTTGTTGAACTCTGCTTTTCCTGCAGGAGGATGAAAATACAACAACAAAAAACAGGTGAAATGCCCCAGATCAAGTTGTGTGAACCCAATTCCAACATTGAAGTGAAATTAATTTGAAAGCAGCACTCAGCACTGATCTGATGAAGCCTTTGTAACCTCATTGCTCCTTTCATAGGGTTGAAAGGAAGAGACTTCTTCTCAGCAGTGGAAGGTGCGTTATTTTTGCCAATTTATGTATTGCAACAAGAAAAGGCAGTATGAAGTCTGCATTTCATGTGTAGCACCTTTGCTTTGAGATAGTTTGCGCTGTACCTAACTTTTCCACTCCCAGTTTCTCTCTGCTGGTACCAAAAGAAAAACCAACATCTTTTTTTTTTCTTTTTTCCATTTTCATCCACAGTGAAAGCTGTGAATTTAATTCTACTTTTAATCCCCATCCCACAGCCATTCAGTCCTCCCACACAGCGTGGAGTGGTGACTCAAGCACCTCAGGTCTGCCTTTATCTCCCATCCTGAGCTGCAGAGAAAAAGAACAAATCTTCACTTTTTATTTTTTATTTTCCCAAACATGCAAATAAAGACAAACACACAGCTGCGACTGTGTGTTTGGCTTTTGATGCCATCGTGATCAGGATCTCAGCTTTTTGACGCAGTGACATCATCGCTAATTTATCCATGTTTGATGTCTGAAAGAGGAATAATATGCGGCTGTATGGGGTTGCCATGGCAACTGGCCCGTTTCAGTGCAAGGGGATGTAGAGTGCTGCTTGAGGCTTGGGGTGATTGGGGATGCTGTGCTGGGGAAAAAAACCCCTCAAAAAAACGAGGTAGTGGGTGTTACGATGTGTCTGCGTCTGCGTCCATGTTAAGGAGGAAGAGTGTTAGCTGGCCAACAGATAGGAAATAAAAAGAGTAAGAAACAGAACAATAGGAGCCATAAACACCCACACAGCAGCATTAATAAATGCAAAAACTCCTTCCGTTTGCATCATCCATGAAAATATAAAGAAGAGAGGAACGCTAATCTGACGAAAAACAAATCAGACATCTATGATCTTGACCAAAGTAGGATTTAAGCAACTAAGCTATTTAAATTTTGATCAATCAGAATGGTTGTTGAAACTATTGACAAGGTGCAAATACACTGATCCATAACCACGGGAAGGTGAAGGAAGGCATTGTGGCCACTGACAGCCCATCCCAACAGTACAGACACCACCGTGGTTCCACAGTCAAACATCTGTAACTGTGAGTATTTCCCAACTCTTTCCAGTCAAAACGTTTAAGATGAATTTGTCTAACATTCTGACGTTGCTCTCCAAGCAAGGATTATGTCCAATCCTGCCTACTCATGTTTAAATTTATAATTTAGCAATACAACAGTTTAATATCAACGCATGTTGTTTTTTGATTGGTTAGTCACTGCATCTTGTATTTGAATATCATCTTACACGTTCTATTCAAACAGAATTATGAATGAATAAGAAAAAGAGATGGAAATGTTCATTATGAAGTAAGAGAAAACAAAGTAGTGATGCATTACATGTGCAAAAAAGAAAATCCCTGAGTCTGTCATACACCGGATCCACTTTGGAATCCAATCAATGGAAAGTTGGCTCCGTGGATGTTAGGACACATGAGACAATATATATATTTTTTTTTACACAAATCACAGAGTACATGTGATTGAAATATGTAACGTGGTCAGCAAGTGTCTGCTACCCTTTTAAAAGTATACGGGGGTATTAAGTGAAAAAAGGAACAAAAATGGCCATCTGAGATTAACCTTAGTGTCCACCCGAGTGTACAACCAATTCTGAGCTTTTCTTTAAGTTTCATGCTCTTCATCAAAGCTGCAGTGATGGTGGTTAGCCAACCAGATCAAATCTGAGAGTACTGCAGGGGCTCATGACATGACTGTAATGGACCTGTGCAGGTTGGATGAACCTCAACAAACACACAGAAAGCTGGAGAACATTTATAAATCTTTCAATAAGACTCAATTTGCTTCAGCATTCAGATGTAACATGTCATTTACTAAATTTTTTAAATATGTCCCAAGGACAACAGCTTGGACTTCTCTGCCAGAGTACCACTTAAAGCGTCCTGCACTTTTATTCCTTTAATTACTATGCAAGACTCTGTGAAATTAATTTTTTACCAATGTGATGTCTTGATTTTATAAAAAAAACAAAACAAAAAAAAAAAAGTAGGACCAACCTTCTTTGCCTTTATGATAGGCCAGCCATAACAGTCCATGTTGTAATCCTTGACAAAATGACAGCTGTGCAGCAGGAAATTCACATTGAGTCACAAGTTATCTAGCTATTTACCCTGGCTCATTCTCATCAGTCCTTACTGCACCACAAGGAGGAGACCACAGACACATTAGAGGGTGTTAATACTGTAGCTCCAATAAGCAACTAATGTGACTAATATGCAAATCCTTCATCCTACACTGTTGATTACACGGTGTATAACACTGAATCATAGTGCATCTGGATATACATCCTGTCAGGGCAATAAAACCTGCCACAGATTTCCACAGGAGATGTAAATATATCACATTTTTTCATTAAACCATGCTGTAGCAATCAGTAATTGAAAATGCCATGCACAACATGCAGCTTCTCTCTCTTTGAGAGAAAAGCTGCAGAGACGCTGGAGAAAGTCTGAGACAATGCAAAATAATGATTTATGAAATATTTGCATCCTCTTGACAGACAAAAGTATGTGACTCATCAAAGGCCAGACTGACATTTAGAAATTACAGTTGCGAGTCACTTTTAAACACAGTTCCCATTTTTTTGTGTGTGAACATAATCAGTTCATCAGTGATGTTGGCCAAGTCGCTCCTGATATTTTCTTTAAATCTGGTTTCTCTTTTTGTGCTTTATGAAAACATTCAAACATGTTTTTTTTTTTTTTTTTTACATTTTAAGCTACTGATGAAGCCCAAAACAAAATAATAACTTTTCTAATTGTTACACATATCTAACAGTAAAAAAGGTCAACAACATGACTCAAAAACTGAACTGCAGCTGAGCTAACCAGTAGCTGTTAGCAAAGTTTATATTTAAGCTGGACAGTGAAGGCAAATGAGTCCTGACTCAGAAACAGGTCATTCAAAAAAATGCTAAACATTCCATAGTTTGAGCTTCAAAACTGTGAAGTGTAATGTAAATGGAACACATGCAGCATTGCTGATGAATTTATGCAAATACCACTCAATTGTGGCAGTGATGATAACCCAATAAAAATTGAAAGATTCCTATTGACTTTTGAGTAGGAAAGTATCTGTTATCGGCTATATCCTTTTTATATCCTCATTTTACAGACTTTTTAAATATGACAACATGTATGACAAAATAGAGAACAGTGTGCAAGCAACTTTGTATTGATGTTGGTGCTGTCATATTATTTAGTGCTATTTGCTTAGTGAATTAGAAGCCACAAAAAAGCATCTTGAAAAGATGCGCTAATTGCTCTATAGCTGTTATGGATCTTTTTCCTTTATGTCTAATTAGAGATAACCACATAAGCTTTATGCTCATGTGCCTATAATTTTACATACACAAAAGATAAATGTAATTACTAAATGGCTTTTCAGTCTGAAGAGAAAATTCTCCAATTTGCTCGTCAGAGTGATTTCAGTTCTTCTCTTTAAAAAGCTTGTGCCTCATATGTCCTCATGTTCTCACTTCTCTGTGTTCTTGTTT